TTTGTAAAAGTGTGAATAGGGAAAAAAACCTGAAAGATTGGTTATATATCAAAGTTTTAAGAGTAGTAATTTATGGCCCATAGGATAATAGGTAATTTTTTTGTTTTTTTTTTAAATAATTTTTATTATTTAAATTTTCTATAATAATCATTATCTATTTTATAATTAGAATGAAAATCATTGTTAAAAACTTTACAAGATTGATGGCATTTGTATTTCCTGTAGTCTTCATTTTAAAACTGTTATTCCTCTAATTCATAGCCCTACTTTAGTTTTATTTTATTTACTTACTCATTTTTTAATGTGGCAGTTAGAAAAGAATACGTTCATTTAAGGTTTATCATATAAAGGCATTCATATTGTGAATATCTTAGATTTAATCCATATGTTTATTATGTCTTCAAGATCATTTAAAAGTAGTTCATTTATTTTTGGTTATTGCCTTTATACCATTTCTTCTGGTAAGAAAATGACCCAATCTTCTCATTAAAGTTTGTTCTTTGGATTAATACTGCATCATTATATATCTTAAGGAAAAGAATATGGTAGTTTTTTTGTTTTTTTTCTTAAACAGTGTAAGGTTGTTTTGTTTTTGGTTTTGTTTTTAAGAAATTAATCTTGGCCTGGGGTTGTAGCTCAGTGGGAGAACACTTTTCTAGTATGTGTGAGGCACAGGGTTTGATTCCTAGCACTGCATATAAATAAACTAATAAAGGTCCATTGACAACTAAAAAAATTTTTTTTAAATATTAATCTTTTTGAAAACCTTTTATATATGGTATTTTTGCCTCAAAATCAAACAATTTCATTTTTTAACATAGAAATATTCTATAAGAAATGATCTAAAGGATTTTCATGAAGTGGAGTACTCTTTTCAATCCATATTAAGATGCCTGGCTAAAAATGTAAAAAGCTGCTGTGTTTTAGCCTAATGTCCTATAGACTGATTCTTCAAAAAAATGTAATGACCTTAAAATTAATTTTCCTGGTAGAAGTTCAACTGGTACTATTTTTGCTTACTTTTTAAAATAAAAAATATCTTGTTTCTCAGAGGCTCGCCAGCTATCACCTCTGTAATAAATTTAGATGGTGATTAATAAACTCATTAGAGCTTAGAGAAAATATTTAAAACACATCATTGATAAACCATGAATGTCCTACTTGGAAATAATCTTACTCCTTTGTACTTGTCATCTCTTTTATTAAATTGTTCATTCATTCATTCATAAAATATTTATATATCCATTACTGATGACAGTGGGTATGAGGTAATGGACATATCAATTAGAAATGAATAAGCATCTTACAGAGTTTAAAAACAAATAAAGCACCTTCAGAATTTAGTGTGACTGAAGACTTGCAAAGAATTTTTTAATGTGCATGCTGGGTTATAAAAGTACCGTGGAAGTTCAGAAGAGGGAAAGATTTCTTGTAGGGAAGAAAGGGATGTGTGAGGAGTGGAGAAGAGATCATAATACAGGAGAAGGTATTTGCTGGGGACCTATGACAAACAGATAAAGGCATCGTTGGCACCGTGCTGTTTCTATTATTTACTGTTGACAAGTGTAATCTGGTGTTCTTTAGCTGGTCTGAAAATCCCCTGATGGATTGTGGTAGGCCCTTGATAATTCTGTTCATTGCTCAAAATTCTTAGACTACCTGTTCAAGACAATGCCAAAACTTACTTTCCTTTTCTTTCTTGTCCCCACCCCGCCCTGCCCCACAAATGCTGCTTTGGTTTCTGTCATTCTTTAATTTACAAGGTTGGTTATACAAAGATTTGAACATTTTGCTGCTGGATTTTATTTATTAATTCACTTTAAAACCTCATTTATCATTGATGGTGAGTTGGAAACAAAAATAGTCATGAGCCCTTACAAAATCCTATATTCATGCATCATGGTTTTGTACTAAGCTCTTAGAATTAAGTAGTGAACAAAACAGGTATACTGTTTGCCTTCATGACACTTATAGATAATAGAAAAACAGATAATTATATTTAATCTATAATTGAACAGATATAGTATATTTTCATGTTAGATATAATGCATATTAAATAAAATAAAGTTTAATCAAATTAACCTGCATTTATATTTTCCTTCTATATTAACATTACTTGTAAGTGACTGTCTTAATGTTTGACATTATTTTAAAATTTGGCTTTTCTCTCCATGTGCCCATCAGAATGTGAATGAATAGTCAAGGTCAAGGGAAAGAAAGACAGGTCTTTTGGTTTTGTGGTTTTAAAACAAATTCCTGTAACTTTATAAGGGAAGAGAGAAACCAGCAGGCATTAAATAAACATCTAAACGACAGCACTGTGCTAGACAAGGTGTACAAAATATTGGTGAGAATGGTATTGTTTAAAAAAAAAAAAATCAAAGAGAAATTAGAGGTGCTAATAGAGAAGAAAAATCTTTAGAAAATTCCTCTTCTCACTTTTCTTTTTTCTTTCTTCAAGATTCTTCTTGATGAACTATCTTCTACTAAACATTGGGCATCCATGCATGTTTCAGACCACAGTGGATTTCACTACCGCCAGTTTTTGTTAAAATCTTTGATGAGTCAAACTGTGACAGACAGTTCTGTATTGGAGAAAAACACTTTGAGAAATGAACCAGCCCTAGTTCTTCCAAAAGATGAAGAAGCAGCTGCTTCAACAGAGGAACCAAGGATAAATCTTCCCCATCTCCTAGAAGAAGAAGTGGAATTCAGCACAGATCTTATTGATTCCTACCCAGGACATGAAACCCTTTGGTGTCATAGGTAAGAGAAGAGAAAAACCCATTTCCTACATGAAATTGGCATGTGTTGATGAGAGCTGCAGAAGGTGTTAAATCTGACTTCTGCCTGTTTAGGTATTCATAGGCATCTGATTTTGGAGCTTTCCCTATGTGAGTAAGAAAGGGTTTAAGTTACCATATCATAATTATTAACATGAAGTTTCTGGTGCAGTTTTTTGCCTATGGCTTAGGACAGTAGTAGTCAGCCTTTGCTTTGCAACAGAATAATCTGTGTTACTTCCTAAATAAAAGGAAAACAAGACAAAAGTTTGTGGACTCCCTCTTTGGAGACTGTGATATTTAGCATATCTGAGATGGATTTTTGTTATTTCTTTTGCCATTAATATGCCTAAACAAATACAAAATAGAACAAAAATCTTCAATATCAAAACAATCTCAAGTCCCAATCTACCTTCTCTTGAAAACGTAGAATAAGGGTGTCTTAATTTTAAGAGGAAAAAATAATTTTCAGCTGGGCTTGATGGTGCATGCCTGTAATCACAGTGAATCAGGAGGCTGAGGTATGAGGATCACAAGCTCAAGGCTTGTTTTGTTGTGTTTTTTTTTTTTTTTTTTTTTAAAAAAAAGACCACAGGGTTTAATCAATTTTAATGCATAGTCAGAGTTGAAACTATTGATTAAAGCCTGAGGGAAAAAAGTAAGTTTTATTATTATTTTACCCTAATGATATACAAATTAATGAAGTGTAAATATCTTGATGCTTTTTGTTTATTTAAATTTTAAAAAATTTAAAGAATTTCTCTTGGGATACAGAGAAAGACTAGTAGAAAGGTGTGAAACAGAATATAAGACTTACTTGTGTTAGTCAGGAGGTAGGTGTTTTAAAAGTTTGCATATTAATAAAATTACTGAGATCTGCCCATACTCTTGTCCAGTCAAGTTTTAGGCTATTTGAGGAGATGGACACCTGCTAGTCTATGCTCAACCTACTCAGAAAACAATCTCTCCTTTTTGGCACATTCATGAATAGAGAATTATCTTTTACTTATGTGTTTGGTACTAGGAAATGAGCCCCTTGCCTCTGAGCCACTTCCCCAGCGCCTTTTTTCTTTCCTTCCCTACCCTGTCCTGTCCTTCCCTTTCCCCTTCCCCTTCCCCTTCCCCTTTCCCTTCCCTTTCCTAGTTCTCACTAATTTGTTGAGATATAACAACTTAGAAGCCATGTAGTTTATCGTATTGTCTACCAGAAATGTTCCCCTTAACCCAAATCAGTGTTTGGAGATTAGCAACAGGGATTTCATTTTGACAAATAGTTCCAGGTGATTTTTTAAGGACAGGAGAACTGCTCTTCTTAGAGGAAGAATAGAAACTGTATCTTTTAAAGTGTTTTTCTTAGAGTTCAGCACAGATCCACTACATATGGATGTTTAAGACTAGTGATGGATTTATAAGATAGTGATTGATTTCTAGATCATAAGACCAACTGCAACAGATGTGTTCTTTTAATTAAAAGGATTGGATAAAGGCTATGGACTAAGCCTCTGGATGAACCCTTTAATTCCCATTTCTAGAATCTCTTGTCTTCCAAGATATCAACGAGATTAGTTTTTTATTTTGTTATATATAATATTGATATTATATAAAACAGATATTGATTGAACTAAGACCTATTTCTATTTTCATGTTAAAGTAATAACTTCAAGTTGTTATCATTCAGTAAATGCTTATTGAAAAACTTTTAATAGTGTTCTTTTTCACAAAACAAACAAGTAATCTGAAGTATTTGTCCAAATACCCAGACTTCATGTCAACTGTTTTTCCTAATTCCTAATTCCTCTGTTTATCTTTGGGTTATGAAGTGGGCCACAAACTCAGCACTGTGTATATGTTGATATGATCACAATTTTTTTCCCCTGAAAAGCTTAACTTTGCCATGAGATTTTCTTTATTCTCTTCCTCCCCCTCCCCCATCATAGGCGGCATGTTTTCTACCTTCAACATCACTTAAATGGTAGGTTTCCTCACAGCATGACCCAGCTGTCACCTGTAGACAGTCCTGGAGAGACTTTGAGTGATTTGCACCTCATCCCAGCAGATCCTCGGCTGTCTCAGGCAATGGAAGTAGATGGATTGAATGACTCAAGCAAGCAAGGCTATTCCCAAGAAACCAAACGCCTGAAGCGGACCCCAGCTCCAGATTCTTTGGGCCTAGAAATGGAGCACAGGTTCATTGATCAAGTATTGTCCACTTGCCGGAACATAGAGCAAGCCAGGTATGCCAAAGCATACAGGAAATGGCTGGTCACTCTGAGTCAATGAAAGTGGATTAATCCTGTAAGGTTCCCCTTTTAGTGCAATATTGCTTTCCTTTCTTATTGACATAGTTGCATGAATTATTTGCTATTATTGGCTAATATGTTCCTCATCTTTAGGTTAAAAGTCCATAGGAAACCTTACATTTTATTTATTTTATTAAGAACTGGCATTCCTTTGGGGATACAGTAATTGTATAGCTCCTTACTAAAAACTGAGTCTTAAATTTTTTCTTTTTAACTCCTCATCCTTTATATTTCTATACATGAGGTTTTCACTCAGTTCTTATAATTGGGTCACATATACATCCACCCACCTCATTTTGATTGCTATATAGGCAAATTTTTTAAATCAAAAATTTTTGTTGTAGTTCAGCTTAGAAACATTAATACAGATGCAGAAGAACTTAATTTATTTTCAGAATCAAATGGCTAGATGTTTGGATATGTGAAAATATAAATCAGTTCTTTTTCTAGCATGTTCTACTCAAAAGTATAGACTAATGTAACCAAAGTCAGAAGTATTGAAATTTATATTAAAAAAATGCTTCCAATGTAATCCATTTTTAAATGATTATTTAAAAACAGAATCTAATTTAAGAGTTTATGTAAGTGTAGTACTGGAAAATTATTTTTATTACCAGCTTTGATAGGTTGTTTTTTACCTCATATTTGGTATATGCCAAAACAGTCATATCAGCCCTGATAAAATAAATTTTTAAAAAACCCAGAATGCCATTTTTAGTTATTACTACTTTTTTTTCCAAAATCATTCATGAAAAATGGAAGAAATATACATACAAATGTATTCATATAAACTCCTTTTTAAAAAATTAAGTTATTGAGATTATACTGGATAAACTACAAAATTTTGTGGATTATGAAAAGTTTACTGGCTAAAGCCAGGAGGAAAGAATAGTTCAGGAGATTAATTCTTCAGTTTTTATTTAAAAACAAAACAGAACACTTTGATACAGGATTTTATCAGGGACGAGGTACCAAAGTATCTACATTAATGCTGTATCTTAATTTTCAATAACAAGGGCTGAGTTTTTCAGGTTGATGAAGTGGGACTAGGGAAAGAGTCAGCTAATATCTACTTATTATATTTTCTCCTTTGTAAATGGTCTGTATTTCTTTTTTCTGTATACTGTTTTCTTTATTTCACCACTCCATTCCATATTTTTTTGTCACTTTGACTTGTGTATAATTTTCCTCATTTGTCTTATTTCAGGAATGCCTACTGAAGATTTTATGTTCTCTGTTTCAGTGAATTTCATTCCCATCTAAATACACACACACACATACACACACAAAAAAAATATGAATAGAACTGCCCCCTAAAAGTTTCTGTAATGATGAAGCTGTTTCTTGTCCTACGTGTATACAAATGTGAGTAATAGTTATAGAAATAAGTATGACCACCATGTTTTGCCTCTTCTCCTTTTTACTTGCTTAGTAATCTGTAAGGTGGGGAGAAAGATGTAGGGAAAGGCAAACCTTTCCTGTCTCAATCTTGTGAATAGCCAGGACTTGAGTTAGAAGTACTATTTTAAGGGAAATGGAATAGGTCCTTTATTTGGGCATCATGGTTTTGTTGAGCGGTGAACTGTCAAATGGAATGATATACTTGTAAAAACGCCAGGAAAATTATCTAGCCTGGCCCCAGTAGACAGATGTTGCTCTTATCTCTTGGGGCAAAAATTACCATTTTTATACTTTATATAATTTTTAGGAGAGAAAATAATTGCCATAATGAACTTAATTCCATGGCCCTTTGTGTACAGAGCTTATTTTGAATTAGATACCTCAAGGTCTATGTAGATTTCTGTGGATAAAACCCATTAGATTTATGATTTTCAACTCCTGCAGGGGTTGAGTAGAAACTGCACAGAGATGACATGGGAGGTTCAGCACATTCCAGTAATACATGTTGCCAAATTCTGGACTACTCAGTATCACTGTTTTCTCAAGCATAATTTTTAGTATCCTAAGTAATAGGGCTTCTTTGATGTGAGTGCAACTACTTTGATGTGAATACACATCAGGACATGAGTATAGATAATATCCTGAGAACATTAGTTAAACTTTTATAGTGCACCATGCCTTTTTATACCTTACACCCAATATCTTGGTCATCTTTGTTGTTAACTGTTCAAACCCACCACTTTCTGAAGCCATGTAGTGTTTTAATATACCTTGGTCTTCTTTTCTTAATAAAGTTTTAAATAGAGAATGAGAATACAAACATCCAAAGGATACTGTCAGTATGTGACTTTTGTATGCTACTTTATTTTAAATTTGCATTTTTCAAGTGTTCACTCACAGGAAAACTTAGAATTGCCCTATATGATTATTTTTGTTTTGCCCCCCCCCTAAGTGATTAACATTTAAACTGACTAGCATAATATGTCTTTTCCTAAATGAGCTCATGCAGTAGAAAAAGTAGGTCTGTTTTCAGGGGCTTGTTAGCTTTATTTTTCTTCAAATATGTCATTGTTTAAAAGGGAAAGATAGTTTAAATTTGACGTGTTTCATCACATTTTCACTGAAAGAGCAATAGTTCATCATCCTGTGGATCAAGAATACTACTGACAAGCAAAAAGCAGTAGGTAACTAACACCTTCATAATACTCTTCACCCTGCCTTTTTAATGTAGACTTATTTCGATAATATAGTATTTCCAGACTCTACTGTGTGTGCCTTGCTCATTGTGAGGGCTCACTGACTACTTATTAAATGAATGATTAACTGAAGAAGGGAAAAGATTGGTCATGAGTGATGGATAGAGTGATGATTGAGAAATTGTTTGTGAATAATACTTAGGGAGAGCTATTGCATATAGAAAAAGTTAATTTAAATTTATTTTCTTCATTACTTTGTTTAAACTCATTAAATTCAGGCCAAGAAATGCAGCTCTAGAATTATCAATGAGCTATACCTTAATCTACATTAAACATTTATAGAAACCCACTTGCATTAAGGATACTACTTTCTGTTTACTTATTTAAGGACACATATACAAAGCTTGAACCATTTGAGAACAGCTGAAGAAATTCTTTGATTTCAATGTCTTGTTTATTGTATCTTCATGAATAGTTATTTTATGCTTCTCTTTTTTTCCCCATTAATTTGAACTGTGAATCTTTTAGTTATTTCCTAAACCTGAAGAGTTGTTTTTTAAGCTTAAGTATCTGATAAATATTAATATCTACTATTATTTCTTTAGAAACTCCAGGCCCAGACTTTCAATCACACTTCTTAATTCTTCTAGTACAGTTCTAATTTAAATTGAGAGCTTCATTAATTTCTTTCTTTTTTTTTTTAAGCACTGCTAGGCTAGGGATCATACTCCACTTTATTAATAATTAGTAGGATTAAACGTATACAGGTTGTCACAAAAAACACTTAGATATTCAAATAAGAAGTTTGGTGACATGTGGAAACAAAAGTTTTTGCATTTTTATGCAGCAGTCTATAAGAAAGCATATATATTTGTGTGGTTTTGATATGTTCAGTTCATACCAGTTTGTACTTGGTGAATGATATATGTGTAAAAAGAACTTGTAATATTGCTGCAAACATAATTATAATTTTCTCTCATATAGCATCACATGGTCTATGACATGGGCTAAATGCAATTTAGGAGTAGAACTACCACTTGCTATACAACAATCTCTACCTTAGAACCCCTGAATTATAGAAGATGCTGAAGATCTAGTTGCAAAAGAAAGTAGCATATGATTGGAAGGGCAGTGTAAAAAGCTGTTTTAAGTTTACTGTTATTTTTTTTACTAGAAAATTATATTTTAAAACTAAGATATTTAAAGTATGCTAAAATTTTGAACACCATTATAACAACTTAATCTTTTGTCTTTTGAATGAATTCCTCAAACAGACCTGCAAACTCTAGCATTCTGTGTGCTGCTGCCTCCCCGTGCTCTGTAATGATCTCCTATTTATTTGAGATGTGTGTTGAGGCACTGGAAAGTTTAGGCAAATTCAGTATCATAAAGGCAGAGAGCCAGAAAAATCAACTCTAAGAATTCTACTTTCTGTCACACAGTGTCTTTTTAAAAACAACTGTACATACTGTGTTAATTTGAGTGCCTTTGTAACTTGGGGTCGGAGCAGGATCATGTTACTTTAAACTCTTAATATTTAGATAGAAAACAGGGATATAAAACAGCTGAATATGACTCATGATTTTATTTATTCCCTTTGTTAGACCTGGTCCTATCTTATCCTTTGATGAGATACTGATACAAGAGAGTAGAGTCCTTTATTTCTATTTCATTAGTTATCTTTTTCCCCCTAAATCCGTATTCGATTTTTTTTTTTTCATTTTGTGGTGTTAGGGATTGAACCCAGGGCCTTGTGCATGCAAGGCAAGCACTTTCTCATTTTTAAGCACCCTATAAAGAATTAGTTCTTTCTGCAAAGTAACTAACATTTTGAAGATTACATGCATTGCATTCAGAGGTTTGTGTGTGCACAATTTTGAGACAGCCTGAAACCTGTGCAGACTGAGTCCAAAGGGAAGCTGGAACCTCTCCCTAAAATAAATGCCAGATGATTGTCCTAAATGAATCCTCTGCCTTACTCTAAGGACCTTCTTTCCCATCCACATTCAGGCTTAATGTAGGATAGTTGAAAGGGGGAAAAGTAGGACTTTTTTTTTTTTTTCCATATAAGAAGAAAGGAAGTAAATTCTAAGATGAAATCTAAAATGTGTCATTTATGTATTTGTTTTTGGGAGTAGGAATTTCACATTTCATGATAGCAAATAATTCCTCATAATTTCAGAAAAATATATAATTAAGCTTTTAAAGTGCTTTATAGAGAATTTTTCAATAATATATTCTATAGGCAGCAGTATGCTATGTTCAGAGTAGAGTCAGAAAACCAGTGTATCCATTGTGGATCTGGGATCAGAAGGAAATCTCAGGCTCCCAACTTAAGACTTCTCTACTCTTACCAGGCTATGTTAACACTGTAAAACCAAACTCTCTGCTGAAAAACAACAACAAAAAACACCAAACCAGCTTAGTCTGCTGGTAAAACATGCTTCCAAGAATATTAGCTATATGTAGTTTGGACTTTCTGGATAATAATATCGATAAAGCTAACTCTGATTTTTCTTATATTAGTCTATTGTTGATCCTCAGGGCATAGAAGATTTAGTTCAATTTAGGATATACTTTTTTTATTCAGTGGCAAATAAAAAAGGATAAATATATTACTAGCTCTTAAAGGTTTAGTATATATAGTATTTTTTATAAATCACTACCAATGCAATGGCTAGTAGATGCTCTGTGACTGCCTCAAGTCATCTCTCTGCTTTAGTTCTTGTGGCTGTGTTATGAACATTCTTTTATATATGTCTTCTGTAGAAATGATTTCTGAATTATATTTTCATGTTTGAGGAGGTGGGGGAGACTATTTTGCATTAACTGACATCATTCTCAATTTTTAGAAATTCTGTTGAGGAAAATGATTACTGTTGGCTTTCAAAACCATGACTACTTTGCTCTCTTAGACATCTGTTTCCCTGAGAATGTTTTATGTGCAGAACCTATGCATGTTCAATACATTGCATAATACCTAAAATGTTATGGGAATTCAATAAGGGAATTCAATAATTGGTAAAGGCTCGATTGGTAAAACTAGCTCATAGCAGTCTTATTGTCCACATTGTTAGCTTTTGGTAAAATACACCAGTTTTCGTGAATACATAATCATATTCAAATATACAAGATAAATATAACAGTTGTACACCACTGCAAGTGAGGTTTAGATACTTTTGAGATTATCTAGGTGTGCATACAGATGTACATGTATATGAAGGATTTGCAGCTTGAATTTATATGGTGGCTTTTACAAAGAATTTTATCCAAAGAATTGTTATTTTTGTATTTGCTTAAATGCTACTATTTCAGGCACTTTTTAAAATTAGACCAACTCCCTCCAGCAAAGCTGGAAATCTAACAAAACAAGTGCCCATTTGCCCTAATTAACCAGATATTTGTTTGGGTGAACTGTTTATGTTAAGTCTTTGATGGTCTACAAATTAAGACATTCTGTTTTTTCCTCTCATACTTTTAGGGAAATCGGCCTTAATTTCATGTCTGGTAATCAGTTTCCTCAAAGTACTATGCAGCACACAGTAAATTATTTATTTATCTTTATAAGGTGGTAATGCATTGAGATTTTTCATTCTGTTTTGGGTCATAGGGATGTACCATTGTATGTAACTAAATATTGACTCAAGCAGCATTCTACCAGAAATGTTCATATGTTGTCCTCCCTCATCAAATGTCATGTTTTTGAAGGAGGTATTTTATACTATTAATTAAAGAATGGGCCTAGACTGAGTGCAATCAAAGTAAGTGCTCAATAAACACCTAGTAGATTGTCTGTCATATTAACAATGAGCTTCCAGCAAGGAAACCAGCATTATCTTTTCCTTGAGAAGTATATATTTAAAATAATATATGTGTGAAACTGAAAAATTATATCATTTCACATTAATTATTAAGCTTATTTAGGCTAGAGTTAGTGATTTGTAATAAAAATATTGTTTATATAGAACATGGTCTGAAGATAGGAGATGTAAAAAGATTAGATAATATCTGAGGCACATTAATTGATTAAAAAAATAGGTAGCTGGACTCTAAGGAGAACTACTGTAGTCTTCTGTAATCATTTTATATATTGGTATATATAGTTCTATCTGGGTTAGTTTTGTTTCTCCTTAAATTTTAGTTTCATTTCAATATCTTAAAAGTGGTAATGGTAAAATACAAATTTATGCTAAATAACTCCTACTTAAACATCTTTGACATGAGGAGGAAATTTTTATGAATAATATAGTAGTTTCACTATGTTTATTGTGGCTTCCAGAGCATTTTTGTCAGAGTTCACCTGATGTTAAAAAAAAAAAAAAACATTAAAAATTTTGAAACAAACATTCCTATGTGAGCTATGAGGAAACAAATGTATAGTACAAGTGTAGTTAGCCATTGATGTTTGGTGAGATTCTTGATGCATGACTATGATGCTGGCTTCTGACTGAAGTGACCGTGTCAGTATTGTATTTTGGGTTTATCTTGTTCTAGGAGAAAAATGGAATGTATACTAGATTAACTTAATGTTTTTAAGCTGGAAAAAATATGAGGTATTATAAGTATGCCAAATATTTATACACTCTACTACAATAGGAAAGGAAGGAAAAAAATTTTAAAGTAGTATTTTTTTTTTAATAGCTTCTAATTTCTTTTTTAACCCAAGTTCCTTATACACTAGTCACTTGCCTGGTTTAACACTGAGAGACTGTAATTTAAGGGAAAGATTTTAGATACTATATTCTGCTATTAGAATACATCGTGCATGTTAATATTACAATGCTTGTAGATTTCCCAAGAAGAATATTTCCATAAATTGACGTCAATATTGTTTTTTTCTTGTAATTTATGTTCAAATGGACAAGTTACATATATGCTCTGTGGTACAGAGTCAGATCCTGGGCATTAAAGATTAGTTTGGCTAACTTTACTGAAGATACTAATTGTCTTCACTGATTGCACTGCTGTGTTTCTTAATCCATTTTCCCCCATAGAGCAGTCTGTATGGAAGTTTCTTTTGCTCCTACCATATACTAATTGACTTTTGTTTAAGGCTTAAATATTTTGTGAATTCTTTTTACACTTAAAATGTATACCTTACAGAGGGATAAGGATAAGATTTGCAGTAAGGTATGTGCAGGGTGTGCTTTCACTGTTTGGGGAATTAGTACCACAGAGTACTTAAGGCTAGTATAATGATCATAGATTATATATACTTGAACTCTTCAATAGAAATATAATATGTGGGCTGGGGTTGTGGCTCAGCAGTAAAGCGCTAACCTACCACATGCTAGGTGCTGCGTTGATCCTCAACACCACATAAAAATAAATGAATAAAATAAAGGTATTGTGTCCAACTATAACTAAAAAAATAAATAAATAGATAGACTTTTTTTTTAAAAAAAGGAAAGAGATATGAGCCACAAAGTAATTTTTAATTTCCTTGTAGTCAGTTGAAAGAGGTGAAATAAACTTTAATAATATATTTTATTTAACCCAGCTATTTAAAAAATTACCATTTCAACGTATAATCACTGTAAAAATTATTAATGAAATATCTTACCTTTTTTTCTATATTAAGTCTTCAAAACTCAGTGTGTAATTTACAGTCACTACATCTCAATTCTGACTAACCATGTTTCAAGTTCTCAAGTCATGTGTGGCTAAAGGGTATTTTATTGGACAATTCATATGTACATGGTACAAAGTGTGACTATTTTAAATTCAGAGATGATGAGGCAGACATAAAATTATGGTACTTCAAAATAATTTAGAAAAATGTCTACTAGAATTGTCCACTTGTTTTCCTTCATCTTCATTTAAAATTTGCTCTCAAAATATGATTAGTCGATTCCAATTTGCCAGGTGTTATTGAAGGAGAAAGAAATTCTATGCCATGTAAGATGCAATGATGTACTGATTATAACAACACATTTTTTTCAGTTGTAGTCACTAAATTCTGTCTTGTTTCTTCAAAATAATACCTTAAATTGCATGTTAATTGTGTATTTGCACCTATTTTGGTTTTGTATTATTCTTAATGTATAGTGATGTATATTAACAAACAGCCCTAGGATTCTTTCTATGCAGTGGTCTTCCAGTATCTTACTGGTACACTTATTTATGATAAATGGCAGAGAAGTAGAATGAACCATTCTTTTTTCCATTAGATTTATTTTTAACATGTACCAAGCAGCTACAAATTATTGTATTTCTGTAGAATATGGAAAATAGTGTTTGTCTTATCTTTGCTAAATATCTGCAATTTCTAAGTAAATTTTTCATCTCCTAAAATGTGTTAGATGTGATTTTATTTTTACTTCTGGTGGTTGATGCTTTACACTTTGATTTAGCCCACCATACTGCCTAGTTAAATTGCTTTGATGTTGGTTAAGAAGGAGTGGTATGAACTGTTATCTTAAGTGAAACCAGTGATTTGATTACCTATATTTGTAGAAAGAAATTTAAATGTTACCATGTCTAGAACATAAAAGAAACATTAGAAATTAGCGAAATTGCCATTGTTGTCTTTAAATTGCATTAACAATGACTAATTGTCGTGACTATGCTTTTCCCCATGCATTTCAAATGAAGGTACAAAGTAAGGAACTCACTCAGTTTAGTGTTACATCCTTTGTTTTCTATGTCTGAGTCTTAGGTTTGTATGCTATGAACCAGAGTAGTAGGGTTACTTAACACTGTATAATACGTAGACAGACTCTATAAAGTATTTATTGGATACATTTACTCAGATTTTAAATATTTCAAGAGTGTTTTGTGGGGAAGGACTTGATTCCTTTGTCCCTTGACTATTGGATTATGCTTTTAAAAAAAATTTTTTTAAGTTGTAGATGGATACAATACCTTTATTTATTTATTTATTTTTATATGGTGCTGGGGATCAAACCCAGAGCCTCGCACATTTGAGGCAAGTGCTCCACCACTGAACTACAACCCCTACCCTAGATTGTACTTTCAATAATACAATTATCATTGTATATTTTGAGTAGGAAACAGAATATGGAGTTTATTTTGCATCAATCATGTCAAAGCACCAGAAACAAAATTTAAAATTGAGGTAGTGTTTTTGCACTAATGCCTTAGGGAAGGAAACTAGTTTACTAATGACAGTCTTAATTTGAATTAGTAAGTGAATTATCTAAGTTTGGCAAAAATTGATATTAGCAAAGTGCTTCCTGGAAAATCACTTTGCTTAATGGCATGCTTCTTGAAATGAAAGATTAACAGCAATAAAAGATTTAGGATAACATACAGCCCAGTTGAATTTAGTAGTATGGTAACCTTTTTGTCATTGGTCTACATTTACCACATATCACCATTTCCCTCATGGTGGAAACCCAGTTTTCCTTTTTCATGCTGTATTAGTTAAAAGAAGAAGAAAGGATATGTTTTTTTGAATGTCATGTGCCTGTCTACTAGTAACTCATCCCAAATGATCAGATTGGGCATCAACTTCAAGTTAGATTACACCCTGAAGAGTAAGTACAATGGCATTGTGTCCTATGATGATAGTGATAAAAGTGGAAGGACTCCCCACTTTGAGCTTTATAAAGAAGCAGCAATAATTGGCATAGTACCTTTTCTTTCACAGAAAGATTTTTAGAGTAATTTTGGCAGTCACAGTTCGGACTTCCATACCTCCTATAAAATGATATGAACAACAAAGTAGTAATTCTAAATTTATGAATTTAGTTTTGAAGTATTCTGATATACAAATATCTTTTGTCAGATTCCTCATAAATCTCTCAGAGTAATTATAGCATAATCAATGAAAGTTCTACTTCTGTGTAGGGGGGCTAACTGGATACAGTGGTCCTCATCATTTTACTGTTATATTCCTATACTTCTTAAGTTGCTAGTGATTCCACCAAACACTATTGAGAGAGTACTCGAAGATGGATAAACAAATGGGGTTGGTGCAGCACCAGTCATTCCAATGGTCAAAAAATTTACAAAAAGTAAATTTTGTAATCTTAACCATGTACAAAGGTTCCTTGAAACTACAAGTTGAGACACATCTAACTTGTGGCATTGATTTCACACAAGCCTTGGTGTTAGTTTTTGTTTGTTTGTTTTTGAGGTGTGGGGGGATGTTACTAGCAATTGAACTCAGGGGCACTGGACCACTGAGCCACGTCCCCAGCCCTATTTTGTATTTACGGACAAGGTCTTGCTGAGTTGCTTAACACCTCACTTTTGCTGGCACTGGTTTTAAACTCTCAATCCTCCTGCCTCAGCCTATCAAGGCGATGGAATTACAGGCATACATCACTGCACCCAGCAATGTTAGTTTTTTCATATGGGAAAAAAATAAATCATCTTGTGCTACACTTATTATAATAGAAAATCACTAATGTGCAACAATAAATTATGTAAATGTTTCCTTCCTACAGTAGTATACCATGTACCCATAAAAACAAGAGCATGTAATTACATAGAAGAAAATGTCATAATATAATTTTGTAGAATAGGTTATAAAGTAGTATGTAAAGTCCTAATTTCATTAAAATGAATTTTAAAATCTCATTTTCAGCATTAGTAAGACTAACCTTTTTACTGAACACAACTAAAAATGTTGGAAAAAACAAAAGTTTTATTTTTTGTTTTTCAAAGCAGGATAAGTAGAAAATCTGCATCATACTGAAACTTAATTTTTCTAAGTTAGGAAACATTACTGAACTAGAAAAGGGAATCAAACCCAGAGCAAGCAAGAGAAAGAAAATAATAAAGATGACAATTAAAATAGAGTACATTAAAATATAATAGAGAAAAAAATCATTGTGACCTTTAGAGGATGAACAAAATTGAAAAAATCTTAAATTTAAGATGAAGAAAATAAATATACTAATTACTAATTTAGGAATGGAATAAAGGGATATTACTACTAACTTTTTAGAAATAAAAAGGAATTTAAGGAATACTGTGAACAGAAAGTTAGGTAACCTACACAAAATGTATGAATTCCTTAAAAACACATACACAAACTACTTGACACTTGCTCAAAAAGAAATAGATTTATTTAGACTAATACATCTAAGTAGCTAGCTGAGTACTCAAAAAAGCCAACCATCAGATGACTTTACTGATGAATTCTACCAAATGTTTAAGAAATTAAAACCAATCATTCAAAAATACACATCCTAACTCATTCAGAGGCTGTTAGTATCCTGATAAATCAGGCAATCTTTTATGAATAAAGACCAAAAAAAAATTCCAGTGGCAAAATAAAGCAAAGTGAATCTCGACATATAAGAAAGTTTGTATACAATGACCTGTGAATGCAAGGCTGCTCAACATACAAAAATGATCTACAGGTATAGTATATCCTAAGAATTTAAGGAAGGCGGAAATTATATGATCATTTCAATAAAGAAAAATAACTTTACTAAATCCAAAACTTTTACCTGATAGAATAATCAACAGGTAGGTCTAGAAGAGAAATTCCTCAAGCTAATAAAAGGAGTATGGAAAGCCACTGCTAACATAGTTACGTGAAAGCTTGAAATCTTTCCCCGTAAGATTGTAAATACAACATGTTGCTCTTGCCACTTCTTTGACATTGTGCAAAAGGTTTGGGTTAGGGCAGTTGGCAAGAAAAAGAATTAAAAGTCATCCCAGTAGAAAAGGAACAAGTAAAACTGTATTCACAGATGACATCATCTTAATAGAAAATTTAAGGAACTTCCTAAAACACTACTACTAAAAAGTGAATTCAATGGGCTACAGGATACAAATTAATTGTATTTTTAAACCTTTGCAAAAATACAAATCAATTGTATTTTTAAACATTTAAATAACCAAAAGTAAATTTAGAGAAAGTTTTTCACAAAAACATTAAAAAGAATGAAATACTTAGGAATAAATTTATTAAAATAAGTGCAAAACTTATTCTATACTGTAAAATCTCTAAAACATCACTGCAAGAAATCACAGAAGTTCTCACTGAATGGAAAACCTTGTCATGTTCAGGGATCAGAATACTCAACATTGTTAAGATTAACAATATATCTGCTATGGTATGAAGATGGTTTGTCCCCCTTGAGTCATGTGGGAGTTCAATCCCCAAAAACATACATTAATGGTGGTGGAAATCGGATTCTATAGTGTTTACAGGTGCAGCCTTTGGGAGGTGAGGTTAGGTAAAGTCATCCGCGGGAGTTCCCATGCTTGTATGCAATGGTGTGAGAAAAGAGAAACCACACATGTGAAGTGCTCCCTGTCTCTTGCCATGTGAGGCTCTGCACCGCATCAGGATTCTGCCTACAAAAAGGGACATCAGGATAAAGCCCCTAGATGTCCCTCCAGAACTATGAGGACAAATAAACCTCTTTGCTTTATAAAGTAGTATATC